CATTGCCAGAATTTCTTAAATGAAAGGAGTTTTTCTGTAAGCAATTTAACTGGACTCCAGAATATTTAAATAAACAGTATTTCTTGAATCTGACAGGCATATTTGTAAATGTACTAAGGATTTAGTAATCCCTCCTGATTTCAGGAATAACATCATTCTTGATCCAGTCATTGTGAGGTGTGAATGATTCTCTAGAGCTTTTGCAAAGGCCAGAATGTATCTTTCAAACCACAGTGAGTTTTCCATTATCTCTCAGTAGATAATTGGTTCTGTGAATCATCTTCAGGGGCCAGGAACTCTCTCTGCTTAACATAGAAAATGATTAGCTGTGTTTTTATAAATGAATGCATATACTCTGACTTCATTAACAGCCCAAAGTAAATGGTCTACAGGTGATTACATTTGTGTTTCATTGAGAATATCTGTACCTTTTCTCTCATACACTAATATGAATGTACATATATACCCACACAGAGCTCAGAGGTCTGTGTATTGGCCTATGTTGAAATTCACTGGTTTTGAATTCTTTGCTTATCATAAAAAACTATATTTTTCACGAGTGTCTAAAGGACTTCACTTGCCTTTTATATCAGGCTCAAATCCCTCAATCGGTATTTAAGACCCAGCCTCTCCAACCAAACTTACTGTGCTAGAGTTTTTATCATTCTACACATGCTTTTCATAGTTCAAATTAAGATTCACTCCTATAAACCCTTGGACTACCATCATCGGAGTGATAATAATTTTTATTTGCAACAAGTAAAAATATTCTGAAATTTCTTCTGAGCCTGGCTCTTTCATAACTGTTCTTTGTCTTTTCCTTCTTTCTTTGATAAATGTGGTATTTTCTGTGTGTGTGTTCTGTGCATGATCTAGCAGCCTACTGTGTGGTACCTCAGTGGTTTCTAATGAATGCTTACTGACTGAATGATAGAACACAGAACTGGAGTGAATGTCAATGATCCAGTTTTTTATGTTTCTTCAGCTCAACTCAGTAAATATTTATTGGGGGTATTTCTTGGATGAACTCTACAATATAAATGAGAGAGTTCAACATTGACTAGACAGTATTGCATGTACTACCTGTCATGTTTTTTGAAAGTCTCCAATGGCCAAAGGATTCAATTATAAATCCTTTTTGAAAATATTATCTTGTGTCTGTAATAAAAAATTTCTGACACATTATTCATGAAAAACCTAAGAATTAAAATTAGCAGATATAGTAAAACTCATCATCATTATGTGTCTTTGCTCCTAAATTAAAAAAAAAATTCCATTATGTTGACTTACCTTTGAAACTGGTGGGATTTCTACATGGTAATTGTAGGATTTTTTTCTTTGTTTTTTTCTTTTTAAATGTTGATTTAAAAAATGGCCGTAAGAAAGTTAAAGCTGGGAATACAGAAATGTATTTTATAGTTTCCAAAGTAATTTATGAAATTTGGAGTTCAAATTTAACAAGATATTATAGACAGATATGAATATTTGAGACCAGAGTATAAATTCCTATGTTTGGATGCAGCTACCTCTCAAAATATCTGGCTCCTTTTTCCAGTATATTGAACAAGTAGGTTTAAGAGTTTTCACATAGTTTGGATGTATTTCCAAAAGGAAGAAGTTTGTGTGCTTGCAGCTGAAATCTAGTAGAAATAATTTAAGATGTTGAAAATCTGAGCCATGATTGACACAGGGAAAGTTCAAACCTTTGCTAATTAAGCATTATTTTTAAATTGTTTAAAAATCTCCTAATGTCATCAGAGCAAAATATTGTCAACAATATCTTCATTATTTAAAAATATTAATGTTGTTAATATCTTTTTTATCCCACATATGGACATGTATGATTTTGACATTAATGATTAATGGTATTTTCTGTGTATGAGCAGAGAGGGAGAGACAATCAGTGGTTGACAAACTAAGTGCACAGACTCCAGGAAACAAGGAAGAGAGTGTGTGATATCTGCACAAAGTGATCCCCTCATAGCTTAGAGATACCGCTTGATGCACAATACACCATAATCATTAATAATAAACATTTATAATATAGTCTGCAGCCCTGAAAAGTTAAGCTTACCTAAGGAGCACATTGCTATCTTAAGCCTTTTTGCTTTATTTCTAAGGAAAGGCAGCCAATACCTGGTCACACTAGACGACTTTGAATAAAATAAGGCAGCATCTAAATGACAACTATTCGTGTAGGGTTCCAGGGGGCCACAGAGTTTTCAACACAGCAGTGGAAGCTGTGATAGAGTCTTTTCTGTAGGGCTTGGAGCATAGATATAAGATAGGTGTAGATTTGGCTTCCAGTCAGTGGTCAAGGTCAACCTGAGAGCCAGGAATGTAGAGAGTGTCTGGTGGTCATGGGTCAACCCTTCTTAGAAAGCTTGCTCTACTCAGAGAACAAAGGTAGGAACACGTATATGGGACAAAAAAGGGGCACACAAGCTGAAAACAATAGAAGATTAAGATTGCAGGCAGGTAGACCAGAAGCCCAGAATACTGTCAGGACACCCTTACAAGGGAAATGCAAAGGAGAAGCCAGCAGGAGAACAGGTGAGAGATGGAAATTGCAAGGACAACTCTCTGGTGGTGGAGGCAGCCAGGAAGAAGTTACAAGTTCTATTGTTGGTGAACCACATCTCAACAATGTTTAGCCTTATAGCTGTGAGTAATGAGAGGGAAGGTCTGCTGTAGCAGAGAGAGAAACAGAAGAACTTCTGTGAAAATATTACATTCATCTGGGCATTTTATTAGAATTAGAAATGTGTCATTAGTGCATGAGTGCATTTCTGATTTGTCAAAAAGTATAATGATGACTGCTTAAACTTGTTGAGTATATTCAAACTTTTATGACGTTATAATTTTAGAATAATTTCTCTTTTCAAAAGGTTACAAGAAAAAAATATTTATCTATAAAATCCACTAATGTGCCTCAATTACTGTTGATAGTGAGATACTGGGAGTCATGATGTCTGATAGGAACATGCTAATTCAGATGTCAGTTAATCATTTTCAATTTACTACTTTTGTCTCAACACCTATGCTTTCTGGCTTTGCCTTGGCATTATGGTTGATGAGTATTAATATGCATTAAACTCTCTATACTGTTTCTTTTTAAATTTCTTTTCTGGACCAGCTTCCCCAGCTACCTTTAAAAATAAATGCTCTGCCGTGACCGGTTTGGCTCAGTGGATAGAGCGTCGGCCTGCGGACTGAAAGGTCCCAGGTTCGATTCCAGTCAAGGGCATGTACCTTGGTTGTGGGCATATCCCCAGTGGGGGTTGTGCAGGAGGCAGCTGAT